CAGTGCTGCTTCTCCAGCCATTAATATTACATACGTGGGCTGCTTAATTTGCTGTTCCTCACAGAGCCAGAGCAGGAAGCCTGCATAATGAAGGACTTGTTGACAGAGGTCTTCATATCAAATCAGCAAAAAGGTAGAAAATGATCCAGTTTCAGGCTTACTTGCTTGACTCATTTAACTTTGGTCCTTCTAAAACCCCTGGCTATGGGGACAATGCACCAGGTTCTCTGCTCTTCCCAGGCCGTTATTGCTGCCACTTTGGAACTTCCTCTATTAAACTGCTCACCAAGATGCCAAACAGTACAGTGATACTCCCTAATTTCACAGGAGAGAGGCATGCTTAATGCATGAGGAAGATGATGGCTGTTGGAGACCAAACACCCTTCAGAAAGGTGCTGAAACGTAAGCCTGGTGTTAAGTGCATAAACAGACCCTGCTGTGAGCTTTCAAACAGTGAGAAATGAACTGGAAGCAGAACACAAAGCCTCTCTCCTCAGCACTTCACAAGTGGTAGCCTAACTTGTTTTAAAGCTCTTCTGGTCTTCTACCCATCCCCAGGGGGCAGCTCGCTCTGGGGCCACACAGTTCAGGTTGGCACCATGTCACTTGCCTGCAGGACACTAGTCTCTCCGACTTCAAACAGGTACATTATCTTGTGTACTCCTGACAGAATTGGTTACGAGTAACATCAGACTGATTTTATACGGTAGGCATTGCACTACAGGCAATCAGATGCATTGCTGCAGTGCCCTAACACTGTGCATGGACAGGATATGGCACTACAATAAACCCAGAGAAATACATGGCAGAGTTCCTGGGCTTCCAAGGATTAAATAAATTAACCTCTGACAGGTGTTTTTTTTTAAATACTTGAAGCATTTCCTAAATACAACATTTGGCAGTGATATATCCTTGCCTGAGTTAATTCCTCAGTGATGCATACTGTGATCAATACATACCTGGGTCCAGCTGACACTCTCTCCTAAGCAACACGTGTGAAAGACTTTTCTAAGCTGTAGTACTCAAGTCCTTTAGCTCCCACCACGGATCTTCCACAAAGCCACAGCATCACAAACCACAGGGGAACGAGAGCAGACAGTCTTGGAGAAACTGAACATCCTCAGAACTGAGCTAAAGTGTCTCCAGGGTGCCCATTTCATTTACATCTCATTCATTATGGAAACGAGGTGTGAAAGTAGTTTCTAGAGCTACCTAGTGCAGGCTGCACATCCATTTAATACCTATTCCTGTTTTTCAAGTCACTTACCTCCATAGAACTCTTGTTCCAAATCAATTATTTTGCTGCATTGCTCAGACTTTTAATTCACTGGTGCATTAATGCAGCTTGGTCTAAACCATTATATATTTCAGACCTCTGAAGGGGAAGCCTTTAAAATGAAGGAGGGCAGTAAAGAACCAGCTTACCTGATTTATAGGACCATCAAGTTTCTACTCACTGTATTTATGCATGAAGAGTCTAAAAAGAGCCAAACTGCATTAGACACGTTTTCTTTTGTTAACATGCCTGTATCATTCTATCAGTCTAGCCACTCACATGAAGAGACTAAAAAACAAAAATAAGGAGGCAAACAGAAGGGAAAAAATAAGTAATTAATAACACTCACAGGAGACTGCTTGCTATCAGCCAGGCTCTTTATTAGGCTTAAGAGATGGCCATTGGGAGCCACAGCTGCAAACTGTTATGTCTATGCAGCATCTAAACACCTTCACTGCTTTTACTAAGGGCAACAGAGTTTAGCCCCCTTCATTTCCCAAATGGGATTCTCAATGTGATTGCCTGAAACACAAGCTTTCTCCCTTGAGATGCCCCATGATGCAGAAGCTCTTGCTTAAAAGCCTGGGCCCTGTACTGTGAGAAGAGTGAATATAGACAAACACACATCCCCAATAGATAGTTGGATTATAAAAATCTCTACAGCAAGTTGATTTATTCTACTATTAGCAGATTAATTCAGAGTGTTTGCATTCAGTTGGCCACAATCCACTTTGGCTTCCCTTTGAGCAGAGCTCAGGATCCTGCCCAGTGACTGTGATATATCAATAAGGGTGTGAGGGGGAGTGATGTCCCTTCCTGGTTTTGCCAGAGATTTCCTATGTTACTTCGGGCAAATGATTTAACCTTGGTGTTCTCCACATCAATAAGGAATCCACCTTGCTCAGAGCATTCTGAGATCTATGGACAAAGAACACTCTAAATACTAGGTATTATTTATAGTATTGCCCTATGGATAATAGCAAGCTACAGCTGTTAGAGACAGCAGGGACCTCTGAGCAAGCAGAAAGGCATAAATCTGAATGTCAGTATCCTTAGCATTGTAGCTGGCGGCTGTTTTGTCCTAGGAGAACATTTCAGTGGTTTGTGCTACCAGATGAACTTGCTGTTAGTTCTTCGTGTTCCCCAGAGGCAGCTAACACAGAAATCTGGATTTACCATAGCAGCTCATTGGTAAAGCAATTCTGACAGCCTGCTCCCAGCGTGGCTTGTACCTGCTCTTTCCGAAGGAGAAAGAGTGGCCATGCAGTGATGCTTTTGCGAGGCGACCCTGCACGCATGCATGCATCTGATCCACACCGACTGCTCACTGCGATTCGGCTGCTTTCACCCCGACCTCTGCATTACTAAGGGTAAATCTCCATGGACGCAGTGTGGTGATGTGTAAAAAGCACCCAAAATAGCTCCAGAATTGGAAGCAGGGCTGCGGGCTAGGACACTCCTGCTGGGAGGCTGCGGTGCTTTGCCACGGCGCCAAGGCTGCTGCCCTCACCTGAGCGCTTGTCCCCAGCTTGTCTGGCTCTGTGCTGCTCTCTCCTCGCTGAGACACTTTGTCCTTGAGCTTGATCCAAGTAATCCAGGCCTTTGACTGAGGTGCTGAAAGCAAGCAAAGACCATCTGATGCACAAATACTGATCTCAAAAGTTTGGGCCCTGTTTACACCAACTTACTCGTTTAAAATTGTCTTCAGAGGCATTTAGCCAAATGCGGCTCTTCCCACCAGCACCAAAATCAGAAACTCACATATCAGGCTTTCAGGCTAGAAATATGCATGTGGATTTATTTGCAAATAGTTTCAAATCTTGGAAGGGTGACTTGGTGCAAGTACATTTGTAGCATAACATGTTGTTGATGTTATATCTCCTCCCCCCCACATTGCACAATGCAAAGCTTTGTGACTAGGTTGTGCCAAGAGCCTTAATTCACCGTTTCATCAAAGGACAAGTCTCCATATTGCTGCCAGTCTCTTTTAGGGTAAACGTTCTGACAGTGAAAGGAAAGAGGCGTTCAGAGTAGGAAAAAAGATGAAGCCACTAAAATGCAAATTTTATTCACAGTTGGCATGTTTATAAATATATATATATATTACATTCTTACAATCTACAGTACATTCTAAATATAGAGGGATTCAATCTAAGTGTTTGTGGGAGGGCGGGTGTGTATTAAACTGAGCAACCTAGATTCAATGACAGAAAGAGACTTAATAATAAAAGAAGGGCAAGGACTCACTCTGGAAAATAAAGGAAAACTTGAAATATAAGCTGGATTTTAGTCAGTGCTTTGGCACTTTGCCACCGGTCATTGGAGACTGCTTTTGGACCTTACGAAAAATGTCATGGTATTAGGGCTGGAGGGCACGTCAGATTTAAAGGGTAATCACTGAAATCCTACCATATGTACATCCTTATCAGAGAGAAACAAAAGATAATCATCACCTCTGGGAGAAACAAATGTTATCTAACAAGTTTAGCTGCTCAGATTTCAATACCGAATGTGCAGCACTCCTCCGTGACCTCTAAACGTGCTGAGCAGGGGTCTCAAGAACCACGAGCAGAAGGAACTGAACAACCTGACCTCTCCCAGGGAAGGGGACAGACAAAGAGGCAGCTGCTGTTGGGCTCTGGCTTCAGCACAAGTTACACTTAACCAAGAGAGAGTGTCCAACTTTGGTAAATGACGGCATTTAAAGCAAGTACCAGTGCCCAGGCTTGGCAAGAGCTCACTGTGGGGAAGCGAGGGTGCGTGGAAGGGAAGGAGGGAAGGAAGGAACCACACACTCCCAAAGCTGACTGAGGCTAGCAAGTGCCCTCAGGAGCCCAGATGCAGAGCGCTCCAGGGAAATGGCTGGGAATACATATTTGAAACAGGACAATTGAATAAAGTGGGCTTTTAAAAATAGCTTGTTCTCTCAAACTTTCCAAAACAGACCTTCCTTGATATGAGTGATAATCTCAGTATAGATTATATCTTCTCCTATTTTACAAATTAAGAAATACTGAAAATTGGCTGGCAAAGTTTATTACCTTGGCATCTACTTAAAAAGAGAGTTTCAGTTTTAACTGTTATGTGTATCCATTCTCAGTGCTTGGGAGGCAAACATGCTGGTTTGTAAACAGCCCAGTTAACTCCTTTTTCCCCTCCAGATTCTTTGGAAACTCAGGACTTTTCAGCAATAGGAGCTACTTTGCTCACACTGTTGGCTTTTGTTAGCTTTAAATTAATGTCCTCAGATGGATATTCTCTGCATGTGGCTTGAATGACATGCTCACTTCATGGATCTATTTATTCTGAGACCAATTTTTTGCTTTTAACCAAAGCTTGCAATATTGAACAGTAGAGCTGTGCGAACTTTGTAATACCCAAACTGCACTGGAGTTTGTTATATTTATTGATTTCCTTGGAAAGCTCAGAGAATGAGACCATATTATTTCACTAATTTTTTTTCATGTTACCATGCATCAAAAAAACCACACGCTTCTCTCACTTCCATCTCTAAGCACAGAGAAGACTTGAATTTTAAGAGCTGTCCAGGACTTCTGCTCTCCCAGCTGCTTTTGGGTGGCTTCTTGGGGCTTCACTGAGTTATTATCCACCAGCTGATCCTTGTCATCAACACAACGTTTTGCCCCACTACCCAAAATTAAAGGCAGAAGGTGAGTGAAAAACAAAAAAACGAACAAACCAAACAAAAAAGTCTTGTGTCTCACTACGCATTTTCATGTAATCTCTCCATATAGTTCTTAAGTTCTTTGCACTCCCCCAGGTCCATATCCTGGCAGACCCATTTAATGTCATCCTCACTACTCATCAAGATTGAGTTGACAGTGGGACACCCATCATCAGAGGAGATGGTAGTAAAGGTGGTGAATTTAACCCGTTTCCTCTTAGAGGTAGGAGAAGTAGTTGGTTCACTTTTCTGTTCTTTCCCTTCAGTGAATGTGGACTCAGTAGACCTGAAAGACTGACCATTAATATTTTTAGTGGCAGTGGTGTTGAGGAGATATTTGCTCTCTTCATAGTCCACTCCTGTGTCAATGGCTGTGATACGTTCGTCTTGTTGGGATGAGAAATTTATGTGATTCTCCAGAAGTTCTGTCCTGTTGCTCAGCCCAACCCAGTCATGAGAGTGGCTCATGCCTTCTTGCTCGTCAAAGGGGACTTGTTTGTTTCTGTACTTCAAAGCAAAAGTGACACAATTGATAAGGAAGACCAGAATTGCCAGGCAAAAGACTCCCAGAAGAGCATACATTCCTATCTCCAGATCACTGAGCCCCCTCGGGGTCTGGACTAGGTCATTTTCTTCCAAGTCTCCGTTGTTTCTTGGCAGATCCACCTGTGCAGGGAAACTCGTGAAGTCTATTGGGATGTTCTGCAAATGGCTGTCGTCATCCAGGAGGCTTTCTCTGTCTTCTTTCTTACTTAAAATCGACCTTTGAGTTGTGGTTCCTTTGCCTTGCTCATGACCCATTGAGGAGCTGTAGTACTGGCCATCTAGCCCAGCTCTTTCCTGCAAAGTGGTTTTTTGACGCCGGTCACTGGCACGATTTTCTAGGTGGACACCAGCACCCCTGTGTTTACTGTCACTGATGTTAGGGTTGGCATCACTCTGCCCAAACTTGACTTTAACGCTACCACTTCCAACAGCCAGGATGCTTTTCCTTTTGGATTTCTGGCATGATTCACTGATCACCATCTCAACCTTCACCAGTGTCCCCTGGCCTTCTGTCTCAGCAGCAATCAGAGGCCACTTGTACTTGGGGTCATGGTGAACGGAGACCACCTTCTCATCTAGAGATGTAGCTGACAGGGAGAAGTCTTTGGAGTCATAAATATCCAGGGGCATGACAGATCCATCGCTGAACTGGATCCAGCAGCTAATGGCTGCTTCCTATAATATACAAAACAAATATTCACACACTCAGAATAAACATTGAGGGAAATATGTTCTGTCCTGGTCTATTCCCTCCTCCTCACAAGATCCATATACCATTTATAACCAGAAAAGAAATAAAAAGGGAGAGCAATAAAATTAATATCTTGCCAAGATGTGAAGAGAAATACTAGTTTAAAACACTCATTGGTAATAAGATTTGTTTCCCCAAAGGTGCTTAAAGGAGCTGTATCCCCTGGGCTCTGCGGAATCTACTTCAGCACCATAATAAATTGCATGTCAGAAAGCATTACCAGCGACTGAGATCATTTACTGTTGTATATTTAAATGAAAAAAAAATTACATTATTTCTAAACTGCTTAAAATACAAAGTCTCCTCTTATTACACACAACACACGTAAAAAAATACCTAATATAGCAAGCAGGTCCATACATGGCTCCATACCTTCAGTCCTTGATTTTTGTCTCTCAAATTAAAAAAGCATTTTGTATAAGCTGAGGAAGCCAATCAATTGCTTCTTTAGGGAGAGGACAGGGTAATTTTCATGCTTGTTAGCAATTAAAAGTAAGACAATAATGAAGTTTAATCTTGTGTCACAAATGCAGATTGCGTATTTCAGAGTGCAGGGAGCTTTACTGAATGGAAGTGGGTCAGATTTGAGAACTAATTCAGTATTTGCACATGTGTAATGGTGCAGCATTCCTGGGAACCTTGACTTTTGCCTTCTAAATTGAAACATTTAAAAGTATTCTTAGATTTCAGCAAACACGTGCTCATCCATTTCTGAAAATCAGGTCCTGTATGGACTGTCAAATGGCTATTGAAAATTCTCGTGATACTTGAAAAAATCTTGGCAATCACACATCAGTCATTTAGAAACAAAATTCAGGTTGCTCTCCAGGAATCTAATTCCTGTTTTTCTTATGGTCTGACTTGCTCTGTTTTGGCTGGGACATTTGCACCTTATTAGACACTGGAGAATCCACACCGGAAAGATCCGAGGCTTGATGAGCGGATTCTTTGTTATCTAAAATGAATCATAGAATCGTAGAATGGCCTAGGCTGGAAGGGACCTTAGAGATCATTTAATCCAGCCTCCCTGCCGCCAGGGACGCCACCTCTTGACTAGATCAGGTAAGCACTTGTCTGGTAAGAGTTGGACCACCCTGTTTTGACAGACAAACACACACCCAACTCACAGACTAACAGCAGTACTCGCGGAAAGCATAATTACGAATGCCTTGTTTCTTGAAATAAACAGTTTTTCAAACAGACAGTATTTACATTCTAATTCAATACGTATGCAGAGAATAACTATATATGATCAGCTTTGAAATTATTTCTAGCACGCAGTGATTCACCTGTTCAGATCATGGAGAGCAAGCCTCCAGTCTTTTGGGACTGTATCGTGCATAATCTAGTGGCCTGATTCTGAAATCCTTACAGCCATAAAGCTCTCCATGCTTCAATGGGAGATTTGCTTCTGTCTCTATTTCAGGACAGAGCCCTAAGACTTTGCTGACACTGTCATAAATCCTGGCTTTGTGTTTATTAATCTCTGGATGTTTCTTGAAGGCCGCATAGAATTCATGTCACCAGCTCTCATCCTCCCACTGCGTTGCTTAAACCTGCATAATCATTTAATAATTTTGCATTGCTTTGATTACAGGAATTGTGCTCTAAAGATCATGTACCAAGCAATGGAAGGAGTCAGACACCTTTAAAAATGGAGTCAGTCCTTGAAGGGAGGAAGGTGCACATCTTCCTCACTGGTTTAATCCCAATCCAGCATCGCTCTGACTGAACCCTTGCATCCAGTCTCCATTTCTGGGAACTGAAATGTCAGTGCTGGGCAGCATACTGGGACTAAATGCCATCAATTCCAGGTTTTGGGCTGATATCGAGGTAGTTTGTTTAACTCCCCATGTCAGCAATGGATTAGCTCACTGGCCTTATTTCTAGCTGCTTGGCATTGATTTCTTAACTCCTGGAATACTGGGGAAGCACGATTTTTATCACCCTACAAAGACAGCAGTTCTGCATTATTTCTCATCCTGCATCCCAAGGGTAAGACCCTAAGATGAATTTAAATGCCTCACCAGTTGGCCAGGTTTTAGACGTGCATGCCATGATCATTTACCTTTAAAGCTTGGAATGCGTGTAAGTGTTAAAAGCCCAGTGCATCCTTGATGTAAGTCCCAGACTGATAGATTTGGGTTGAAAAGAAGTTTAAATTTTAAATGCAGACAGAAGGACAAGGACATATAGCAAGCAGGGACTGACGGGGACATGGCAAAGCCCAAAAGCCCTCGGTAACTGTTGGTTCCCTCATACAGGGACTAGGGGAAACAAAAATTAGTTTATGAAATCGTGAATCAGGAAATGAGTCAACGATGCTGATTCATATTCTAGTAACGAATCAGAATGAAAAGGATGTCTCCCAACTTCTTGCAGTGCTCACAGAAAGCAGCTAAAGGAAGAAGAGTTTGGCACCACGCAAAACACTTTCTCATCTAAAGATATGCTTAAAGGGTTGATCTGGTTGCCTGTGGTGGGAGGCTGAACTTGGCAATCTAGTTGGCAATACCTCCTGTGATCTAATAGGTGCCGGATGGGACAGGAAGGGGGTGTGTGTGCGTAAGGGCACTGCTGTTCCTTAATTATGACACATCATTGAGCTGCATGTGTTATTTACGGGATGCAGCCACGACAGATGGGGTATTCCTGTTTGCTGACCGGGGTTACTCAGGCATCGTGCCATCTTTGTTTTTCTTTTAGGGCACCTGGCACATTTACTTACGGGCACAGAAAAAAGTGCACATAAGGAAAATGTTTCATTAGCACATTATTAATATAAAATGTCTTTGACCCCATCAGCTGACAAGGTTGGCTGTAGCGAATCAGAGTGGTGTCCTGCCATAACACAGTGCTTGTAGACAATAGTACCTGCTTTGGAGACTGGAGCAGCTCTTGTGCTACTGCTGTAGCAAAGATGGCCTTATTGCTTCCTGGACTGAGCTGCAGAGAAAGCGACAATCCAGTCACCAGCTGCACTCCCAGGTCAGTTATTGTCACCTTCTCATCCAGAACTGTCACTGTCTTCTCCGCCAAGATGGCATCCGAGAGGGGGGACAATATCTGAAAAGAAAAATCAAAGTTAGCAACTGCCATTTAGCTTATCACCAAACAAAATAGCTACAAGGAGCTAATGCAATACAGATAAGTGATATTTATGTTAATAGACAGAATGACTCTTAGCAGACAGACATTACTAAAATATGATTAAAGAAATGGCTAGAAACAGTTTACAAATCTTATGCCATAAAAGGGTGCATACAACATCTTTTACCAAAATAACTCTTTTTCAGCTATGCTAACCATCTGTTTTGGATGCATTAACTATTTGTAAATGTAATCTTTATGTGAAATGCAATATTTTATTAACTATTGTGTCTTCAGGTAGCATATATATAATACAATCCATTATATTTATATAAAATCCATAGAATAAATAGCATTTCTTTCTATCATACAGAAAGAAAGTTGATGTATTGCTATAGTAAATACAAATAGTACTGTATACAAAATTGACAGAGAAAACTTGTTTTAGTGAGAACAATGTGCAGAGAGCTCAGTGCATTGATACCTGACATACCTGATATGCTCATTAGCAAACAAGTTAAATTTAATGATCCACATAGAGAATAGAGCTTTTTGGAGGCCATTTATAAGAGGTATTCTTTAAATATAACTGGCTCTCAGCCTTTTTTCCCTTGGATTTTTCTTTCTACACCTTTATGTGCATTTGTAGGAGCACTGTAAGTCCCAGAGCTTTGGAAATTCATTCAGAAAATCTTTACAGATTTTGCAGAAAGTCAGAATCTCAAATCCCATTTCTCCAGCTCTGACAACCTGTGTTATTAACAGTACGGTTGTTGTTTTCTGGTTTGACAGGTTGGGATGACGAGCATGTTTGGAGAGCTGGCTTTTTTCTCCTGTTCAAGTGCTTGTTAACATGTTTTCTACTTTATAGTATCACTGGATTAATCTCTTTTCTTCTGGGACCCTATTTTCTAGGCCAGTATTTCTCTGCATGGCAGGAACAGCTAGACATGAGAAACCTCCAGTGACACGGAGCATAGGTTTAGGTGAGTTACTTCAGAGTGGGGACACTACGGCACAGCCACATAATTCTGTGGTATTTATAGACCATATTCTTGGCCATATTGGCTGAAACTGATGAAGCTAAATCTCCACCCCTGGAGAACCCGGTCTACTTGTCACTAATCAATCAGTCTTTTGACATCATTCTAGCAGTACCAATTGCTATTATTGCTTTGTGCATATTCTGAAATGCACCCTGACACTTAGATTTTGTAACACACTGCTTGAGTTTGCAAGGTGTGCAGGGGTTTGATCCCACAGGACTCATATTCCAGTCACAGCTCCTCAACCAGCACTAGTTAATTTTTATTTTACCCTTTGCTTTGTCACTCTGAAGACTGAGATGTTTCACCCACTGCATGCCTTGTGATAGCCTAGATATTGGCTCCAGGTTAAAAAACGCCTTAGACAAACATAACCAGAAACAGCCTCCAAGCACACATGTTGGGCTAAATTTGCTAAAAGCACAATCTACATACTTTGGGGCACAGGATAAGAAGAGAAAACCATCTCTTCTGTGTCTTCCAGTCCTTGCTGCAATTCTGTTCCATTTAAAAATTTATGGCTTTAATTCCTGTTGCCAATACAAGAAGCTGCTGCACACCTCATCAGTACCTCGGTTCCCAAAGCGGTAGGTTAACGGAGGAAAAGGAGAAAGTAATTCATTTTCCCTACCTGAATTGTCGTCATTCCAAGCTCCTGCCCAATCAAAACCTGTCCGTCCTGTAGCTTCGCAATTCTTGGCTCCTCCACCTGCATGAAGTCACTCACCAGGTCGGTGATGTCAATCTGCCAGTCAGAACCCAGTAAGTAGCTCAGCTGCCCGCCGGGGTCTGAGGCTTCAGCTACAAAGTGCGTGAGGACTCGCACCATCGCATGTTGGTACTGAAGGGCGCAGCCTCTTCCCTTACGCTCATCCTCTTCTTCATCATCGCTGTCCCTGGCTGGTCTGGCAGGACTCCAAGAATAAAAAAAATAATTTAAACTGGTGCTGGGAGAGCTCAGAGCAGGAGAGCTATTACTGACATAAGACTGCAGCCTGGCTGCTGGAACAAGGGGCCTTTGCCCCCTTCCATTGCTCTGCTGAAGCTGTTTCCTTCAGTGCGTTTCTCAGGGCAGTCAAGTTTCCCCATTTTTATCCTGTTTCCCTGAGACCTCCAGGCTAGCTCGATCTCCAAACCAGCTGCTGAAATCACCAACTCGCTTGCTTGCTTTGCTACCACATTGTCCTCTCCAAATATCTCTCACTACTTTCCATGTCCTTAATTTCAAGACATTCTCACTTTTTTATTTCTCGATCTTCCCATAAAGGTCTTCATGTTGCCATGGAAATCTCCTCTGTCTGCACCTACATACACATCCCTGTATGGCATTCAGGCTGAAATCACATCTCCACCAAAATCCCCATCTCTTTGCTGTGATACTAACACACACTCAGTAATAAATGATGGCTTCATAGGTGGGTGGGAATAGCAATGCCTACTTTATCAATTTGTTTTTGTTCTTCATAACACAGATACAAACAGTCTACATCTGCCTACATCTATCCTCTGCCCTGTCATTCACATGGGGGCACAGACAGAACCTTTAAGCCCTAGTGTACCAGTGTCCTGACTTTGGGACATGGATCAGTGCCACTGGACCTTACAGTGATATGAAACAAATAGCAATGAATCAACTAATTGGCAGGACCTGTGAGCCAGGCTGGAGACTGAGCAGCCTTGCCAGAGCGGGTCCTTGTTGACATCTTCCTTCTGCCTCATGGCTGATCCTGCCTAACTTGACCCATCGTCTGTTTCCATCTCAGTCACAAGCGCTATAAAAGGAAATTGATTTCCAATGTAGGATCATGAAAGCTGCAGTTTCCATTTCCTTCATAAGTCCAGTGCAGGAACCTATTGAATAAATGTCTGATGACCTTCAAATTTATACCGGAATTGCATTAAGGCCAAATGAGCATGTTCAGATCCACCGGCCCTGACAGGTCTTTGGCAAGTGCACAGCCCAGAATGAACATCCTCTAATGAAACCTACCTCTTATTAGAGATGATGGGGACTCTCCACCCCTTGATCTGATTTAGTTCTGTGTCAGAGACCTCTATCTGCAGCGGGAGACGAGGAACCCAGACTGTCATTTCTAAAGGGGCACTCAGATGCTGGTAAGTAAAATTAACTATGACATTCACTTTGCCTTTCATTTCCTTCCCATTGACAAAGACATAGTCACATCTGTCAGAAACCTGGAAAAAAAAAAGGACAAAGAAGAAAAAAAAAATTAATGAGTCTCTTCACAAATTACAAAGTACACCACATGCTGGGAAAGTGAGTGGGAGGGAGAGCAAGGATATAGATTTAAACTAGCTCCAAGTTCAGAGGACAACTAGGAATAACAAGAAAGGTGCCTGGTGTGCCCGTAATAGCCTGTATAATTTGGCATAATTTTAACAGGCAGGCTTTATCTGCTATAAACATTTCCAGTATAATCTAAGATAAAACAACAGCTTCTTTCTTCCTTAACTCACACTGCAACACTATAGTATAACGGCATCAAAAGAGGGTTCTTCTCCTTTCCCCCCAGCTCAGTGAGACTCTCCTATCCTCCTCCTTACTTTGTGTGCAGCCCATGGAATACCACATGCCTGCGGGGAGGAACAGGTGACTGCCTCTATACAGAAATGAGTAGGGACCAAATCTCTCTAGTCAGTCCCAAATTGGGAAAAAAGGTTCTTCAGGAGTCCAGCTATGGGTGCCAGGGCATGGCGTGGTCACATCAACCAAAAACTAATCACAGGGAAGAGCCCATCAAGCCCAGTGGTGTTCACTGGTGCCTGCAAGTCTGGCAAAGGTCTTACACAACGTTCTGCTCAAGCTAGTCCTGATGTCACTTTATTTATTACCTGCAGCTCTGGACATCAATACTGCTGGGAGTTACTAAATTTCACCTAAGCGATTTAGGCAGCTATTGCAAGGATCTAGGTGGGCTGACAGGATCTGTTCATTACACCTAGTTAAAATATAGGAGTAAATGTACACGTCAAATAATTTATTAACTACCACTTTACCATGCTGATGATCTGAAGGAATGATCTATTAAAACCCTGAACTCTTTTCACAATCCATTACCAGCCAGCCATTCTATTCCATTCTGTAGATATATTTAATATTTTTGACTCCAGACTGCATAGCCTGATCCTCATCTGCATTTAATGCCATTTTCCACTTTTCTGTTTAAATGCTAAATGATTTAAATAATATTTAAATATCACCAGCTTTTGTGGGGTAATTTGCATTCCTAATATTATTATCTTTAAACAACAACTCCCTTAACAGGGAGATTCATAGCAAATCCATTTCCATCCTTGCTTTTCTGAGCCTAGGCAACCTACCAAAAAGGTTATCATGGCTCTTGCAATGTCTCTCTTGCAAGTAACTTCTGTTTTAAGGTCAAAAAATCTTACAGTTGCCATTTATTTCAGCAGGGAAGTAAGGAGTTTATTTACAGGCAGAACTATGTTTTTTGGGATATTCTCATGTTAGCATGCTTTATATGCTAGCTCTTAACAGCTCCTGTCAGGATCCAATCTCATCGTGCTGCACAGCAACAAAACCTAGCTGCTGCCAAAAAAAGCCTCAAAACACGGCGGTAGGCAACGCAAGGGAAGGACCTCACAGTGGGCAGCTGAGCATGGACATGTCTCAGCTCTGGCTGGGGCCTGTGGCATTGGTGTAACAGCCACTTTGTCATAATGCTCATCCAAATCGGCCTCAACTGAGGAAGATGAGACCCTGCAAAACTCTGGGAGAAGCTTCCTGCAAGCCTGCAGAAACGGCTGTAGGGAAGGCATAAGCACGTTCCCTGTCTGGGAGCAGCACGTCTGGGCAGCAGCAAGGGAGCAGACGTTATTCTTGCACCCTTGCAGAAGGCACATTAATGCAAGTGTAATATTTTCAGGGCAAGAACTACACCGTACTTCCTACCTGCACCATCTAACAGCTGGTCTGACAGGCAGGAAGTCAGAAGACCTTCAGGCAGTGCCTGGTCCATCCGCTCCTACTCCCACCCCATGGGGTCCCTTGCTTCTGCAAGCGCAAATCGTCTATTCCTTGCTGGCACTGCACTTGTCCTTGTTGCCTTTTTGTATTTTAAGTGCCATTCTCAAAGTAGACAACTCTCCTACGGGATAATAAGCTCTGTCTGCTGCTTTCTACCTTTCCTCTTTTCCAAGGGATGCCAGTGAGAAGGAAAACTGGGCAGGTTCTCAAAGTGCTGATTTCCACCTGAGAGGCAACAGATCAAAGCTGATGACAAAGTGGCCCCAAGGAAAACATTCAGCCTGGTTGCTGATTGCCCTGAGATCCTTCACTTGTCTTTATGCTCTGCTGGCTGGACCACACGTACATGTGAACAGCCCAAAGACAAATGTTTTCCTTAGCAGCGCATGGGACCAGGGAGCATCTTTCAGTGTGACTTCCTCACCGCCACTGCTTCCAGCTGGCAACACCTCATATTCCTGAATCTTAGCTAATTAGCACATTAGGCAATTACATGTCCCCGTGGGTGATCAACCTACGGCTGAAAGCATTTCCTAGCGATTTAAGGTAACAGGTAAACATCTGTGTCTCGCAGCACAGAAATCATAGCTTCCGAATCCGGGCAGTGTCCTCTGCAGAGCCAAGCGCTGAGCCCCTGGAGCCCTGCTCCCCACCCGACCTGCCCTGCTCGTCCTCTGCTCCGCACTTGCAACAGAGCTTCTAGCAGGGCCCTGCCAAGCACCCTCCCACTGGGGTAAGGCTCTGCCGTCTGAGCAGTGGCTCTAGAAGCACACATAAACGGCACAGGTGGGATTTTGCTGTTTTCTTTATTAGTCTCTGTGTGTGAAGTGTAGTTCAGCACACAAGGGCTGGAAGGAGGACGAGACTCTCCCAGGCAATAGAGGTAACTGCTGAATTATGCTAGTAAGAGACAGGAGTCAGACTCTCAGATTTTAAATTCGTTAATGCTCAAGAAATAGCAAGAGAAATAAAAATTGGCAGGCAAACAGACCTCAGTCCCAACTTTATAAGGGTCTACTACAGAAAGAGTTAAAAAAAAGAATCCATGCCTAAAAACCTACTATATGAATAATTAAATAAATACCACGACCTTGTGCTTTCAAGATTATGATTTAGAAAACAAACGGATGGTCAGGAAAAGAATGACTAGGCTTGGGGTACCCGCTTCCTCCTGTTTCCTTTTCTGTAAGTGAAGACGGCAACAACTATGAGCTCATTCAGTTCCCCGCCAGCCCTTCACTGTTTGAATGAATAAGCGTCACTGTTCTGCTGCAGTTTGCATGCAGTCCTAACAGAGCAACATCAAAACACGGTGCAAAGTACAGTACATTTTCATAAATCAGGCCAGGACATTCAGAAACAGGTCATCAATAGAAAGGCAGATTAGCCATGCCCATGTTACTGTGGACACATCCGAACCATTCATCTCCCAGCACAAGAGAAAGACTAAAAAGGTGTCGAGAAGAAAAATTGAGCTTCTCTGTTGCGGTTTATTGGAAATGAGTGAATATTTTCGTGCAACGAGTTTGACAGGACTCAGCTGAGCCTCCCCAGGACAAATACGCATGCGAGCAAAGACCCGTTGGAGGCAGCTGGGCAGCTGGCAGCCCCTGGGCAGTCCCTGCAGCTGGCACGGGCGGCGGGAGCCACCGGGTCCCCGCTCGCACAGCTTCTCCGCAATGATGTTGACGGGGGCTTCTGCTACTGCTGTTTCTTCAAGCCTGCAGGTCTCCTTTTCAATCTGTAATGGATTTCAATTCCTCAGTCTGTCAAGCAGCTTCTTTTCTTTAGCATTAATTCATATAAACAGCCCTTAACAACCAACCCTCCTTCCTGTACTCCAGTTCTTGCTTTACACGCCTCGCCACACACGGCAGAAATGGCTGTGGTTCAAGTTTATTAAACGCATGAATGGAGCGACTGCACATACCCTCGGATACGTGTGTGAGAGTGCGCGAAGGGAAGCGAGGGTCTGTGCTAAATCAGGAAACAGCTCCCCGGCAGGTTGGTATTATGGGGTTGCAAAAGCTCGGTCCCAAAGCGGGCAGATTTCAGAAAACTATTAAACACATTATAAAATGCAACAGGAACAACAAAGAGGTGGGAGCAAGGTGGGTGATTAGTTTTCTTTTCAAAATCCGAGGGCTCCCACCCATATCTCCTTTTCCTTTCCTCCTGCCTTTTTTGATATGTCAGGGATGGCAACTCTAGTTTACAGCAAAGGTGACAAGGGCTCAAGAGAGGAAAAACTAGATTTCCTTTTACTGTTAATGTACTGCTGGAATATATCTCTCTGTGTTGTGGCCACTGTAATTCAAGGACATTATAATGCCATTAAAGCCTTCTGGTGCTGTGCTCCCTTGCTAAAGCTTTTCTGGCCTTTGTGTCACCGGAGCTTTTCACACAACTATGCTGCCTTCCCTTAATTAAGGGAGGCTGTACTTAGTGCCCACAAGATGCTCCAGAAATTCTCTCAGTACAAGGAACTTTTATCTCTTGAGGGAACTGGGGGTTGAATGGCTTTTTTGGGGCATGAACTCGGTAGGTTATAAAAGTGCTTTGGGTTTCATTTGGCTCCTGCAGCTCCACCTCTTTTTCTTCCATCAGTGAACAACCCAGACAGCTGCCTCCGAGTCACACACACACATCTGATCGCTGTGTGCCGGGGCAGCGGAGGTCAGAGGTCCCTTATTGCCAGCACAGCACAGAATTGGGAAATAGATTTCGAAGTGCACCATGTACATACCAAACATGTGGCTTCCGGCAGGCTGGGTGTTGAGTTCAATCTCCAGTGCTACAAAATGCGCCGAGCGGGATATTTCAAATGCGCTCAGCGTTGCCTTAAATTCAAACCCCTAGTCCTGTTGTCAAAAATGGGAATAGAGTGAAGTCACTGCTGCTTCCTACCACAAAATCCATGCTGTAGATAAATACGCATTCATCAGCCCCGCGTGCAGCTCTGAGTATCCCAAGCCTGAGCCCAAAACTCAGCTGGCAGCCTTGCAACTGTGAAAGTGATGCTGCTGTGTTACTTTAACACACAACTGTTTCCTTGGCAAACAGATATCGAACAGAAAAGGAGGGGGGCATTGCTTGGTCCAAGGCACTTCTTTTTTATGTTTACTTAAAAAGTCTGTTTGTGTTATCTGAAAAGAAGTCAGCACCATCCTTTAACCCTCTC